GGGTGATTACATTTATATGCCTGATGGCAAAGTACTTATTGTAAATGGTGCTGGTAGAGGATTCGCAGGTTGGGGTATGTTAAATCTCTAAAACATCTATAACATTTTATGGTCGTAATATTTCGTGAAAATTATCAAATTTTATTTCTTTAATAGATACGGGTGAAATTAACAACAGAACACATTCAGCAAGTTTACCTCAAAAGATACCATTACTTTATGATCCTAAAGCACCTCTTGGATCTCGTTTCACTAGGATGGCAGAAGCGAAAATCATCCGTGTTTATCATTCAACTGCAACTTTGATCCCAGATGGTACAGTTTTTGTCGCTGGTAGCAATCCAAATCCTGAGTATTGTGGCATTAATACTTGTGAATACCCTACAGAGTAAGCTAAGTAATAAATGAATTAATATTTAACAGACGTAATTAAGCAAATTTTACTTTTATAAATTTTTAGATACCGTGTAGAAATTTTTAAACCCGCATATCTTTTCAAAGGCATTCCCCGGCCTGTTATTAAGAGTATTAAGGGTATAGAAGCCTTCAACTCCTTAACATCAATACAAGTAAAATATGGAGAGGCAATTACTATAACCATGGATCTAAATGACAGCGCTGCAAATATTACTGCTGCTTTAATTCATCCTGGTTTCGCTTCACATTCACTGCACATGTCTTCGCGATATGTAAGCTTACGAACTAACAATCAAGTACCAATCCCATCAGGATACTCTGTTGATGTCATTTTACCACCACATCCTAATATCATGCCACCAGGGCGGCATACTTATATTTTTATCTTAAACAAGGGAACGCCGGCAAATACTGCTATCGAAATTGATCTCAAGCGATCTTAATATGGATTTACGATATCGATACGTACTATATATATAATAATTAATATTATTTTGTGGGACATACGTGATATAGAACATATTATCGTTATATTGAGCAGAAAAACTTTAGAAATGTAAATTTATTTTTATTTTTATTTTTATTTTGTGCATGGTCGTTATGGAGAAGAGCTCTAGTCCTTACATTATCGAAAATTCTGTCCAAACGTCAAGAGTATTGCAGTTTAATATAATATAAAAAGGAGCTAATATTTCCTAACTTGTTTGATACATTAATCAATGATCAAAAAAATACGGGAATATCATTTTATATTTATACAGTACACTTTTGTATCAGTTTTTTGAGAGGTTATCGGATTTAAGATACCATGCTGGCCACATGATTATAGATAAATATAATTGGCTAGATTATACTTTATTTATTATATTGAAACAGAAAAAATTAATCGCACTCATCTTACGGGTCTAAAAAAAAGCCTCTATATAGCACTTGTTCAAAACTTTTGCGCTCATTGAAACCAATTTAAAAATAAAGACTTTGAGCGCTATTTCGATATGTGTTTTCGAAAAGAAATGTAAATTGCAGGTCATTAAAAAAAAAAAAAAAAAGAAATAATTCTAATTTGATAACTTGATTTTTTTATTCAATTACTCCGTATAAGGTTTTTTTTTTTAACTACAACAATTTCTGACGTCAACCCAAAATCAGAAATATATGCAATTAATACTGTTACACTGGTCAATTAGAATGTTTCCTGAATGCAAATCGCGATGGCAATAACCAGCTTTTAAATGAGTTCGATTCAGACCCCAACAACAGATAATTGAAGGTAAGGTTGTTAACGGCTTCTTTGAGACCGACTCTAGCCGCATAATGGAGCTGACCCGATCCAAGCCAATTGAGCTGTAGCTTGAATCGTAATCAAGTTATAGCTTAGAGTCATAGCTTGAACTGTGGCTTGAGCCGTAACTCATAATTGTTACTTAATTAATATCACTTTTCCAGCTATTAAAACTACGGCTTGAGCCATGGCTACTAGAGCCACTGTTTGAGCTATGGCACAAGTTATGGTTCAAACCACAGTCATAACTCAAGCTGGAGCCATGACTTTTAGGAGCCAAGCCAAGCCATCCAAGCCGATAACAACTCTAATTAAAGGTTCATGCTTTCAATTCTGACATGAGTGGACTCATTATTTCAACGGTGGGGCAGAATTTCTATCGTAAACGTGACACAAGCCATGCCATAAGTGGAACTGTTGCTACTATCGTTTAGGGAGAGCGTAGGTTTATGGTGGAACTGTGTTTAGCCCAGTATAATAAGCTAGAAGGCAAAAGTGGGTGA